TTGTGCAAAAACGCTTTAGGTCATTGCTGATCTAATCTATGACAATTTTGCTCTATGCATGCGCCCTTACAGAGACTGCACGAGCAACTAGATATTCTTAAATACAAACGATTAGTCCAAAATGTCTTAATTATTGCTAACCAAATTCAGCGTCTTGATGCAGACGAAAGAAATTTCCATTTCAGAAATTGAAAAGTTGGCACACATTATACATATTTCTAGTTACTTTTAACTCCAAATTTGTGCCCACTGTGTGAGATCTGAATTCTGGTGAGTGAAAAAGGGGGGAGAGGGGGTGGAGAAGGGGGGGAAGCATGGAAATGAAATGGATCCGAAGAATTCTGTTTCATTAGCCTTTGTAATGAGAAGTTTCCTCATGGAGCTCAGCACCTCTGTCTATAGAAGGAGATGCATTGAGTGCTCAGTATTTACAGCTGAGTGCCATCAGGGTTGCCTGCAGATTGAGCAAAAGCTCTCTATTTGTTATGCTGTAATTTAATTTCTTACAGTGGTGATTGGGCATCCTGATGGAGTCTTTTGAGACAAGGCAGGTCACGTGATTTTCTTCCCAACCTCCTTTTTATTGAAACATTTATAGAGAAAATTTAGATGAATACTTAAGTTAATATTGATGATGATGATGAGGCTTAAATTCCCATAGTAATGTTGGATGACAAATGGTTTGAGTTTTTTTTCACATATTTCTTCAGAAGTATACATCTTCATTCCTACAAAGCAGATGCATGCCTCTTACTGTGCCCTTTTCTGATAGCAGTTTGACTTATATCATGTTTTCAGGATTGCTTAGGCTCTATTTTATTCCAAAGAACACTCAAAAAAAAAAATGTTTGGAGGATCTAGTGAAGTTAGGTGAATAAATACATACCTTAATGTGTAAATTCATTAATTTCCTGAGGTCTTCTTCATGAAGGAAAGTATCTTGGGGAACAAAGCTTTAGAGTGAGTGTTAACACAGGGAAAGGCATAAACTCGTGCTATTTTTTTCTTACTGTATCATTAGGATGATCTGTGTGCATCTGTGGTTTCCTTATTTTGGCCTCTTCTGCAAACTCCAAATGTGAGTGCTTCCAGAGAGAATGATTGGAGCCATGCAGTTCAGTGAATTCCCTGCATGGTATTATGTGGGATTTATTCATCTTGGAGCTGTGTCACCAATTTTCAGGGGCAAATTCGTATGCCTGTGTTCAGAAGCATGAAATCACTTTGATTAACTGAAAATGATCCTTGCCTATAAAAAGAAAAAAAAAAATAGCTCTCCTTAGATAGCTTACATGTAAGACCAATTCTCATTAGTACTGTCATAAACTAGATTTTTGTAAGTACACCGAGTAATGTATTCTTGTAAACAGTTGTATACGAAGTTGTATACAGTTGTATACGAAGGCAGTGAAGTTAATGGAAATCAATCACATTTTCCATTTGGCATTACATAGGAGAAAAGAGACAGATCCAAAAGCAATTATCAGTGTATGTGTGATCACTTAAAATTGCATAGTATTTCCAGATGCATTTTATTTTTCACAATCCTCGTAAGCTACCGATGTTGATTTTGGGGGGTTAAAGCTTGAAGCAAATCTATAACCAACCATTCGTAACAATGTGTATTTTATGTTACAGCTGACACTAGAATTCAGAGATCCACGTTTAGGCAGATTTCGGAGAGAGATGAAGTAAGTTATTTTGCCAGTTCTAATGCGTAGTTTGACTGAAGCGTAACCAGTAACCGTTTTTCCAAGCATTTAAGTGAGTTGCAAACCTGAATTCCTGTGGCAGGAAAGGCAGTGGCTTTCAAAGACCTCTTTACCTTTCTGTGTTCAAGCTCATGCTCGTTAAAGCCCACCTCCTGCTGCAGTAAAATGGAATAAACCAGCATTTCGAGGCTGGAGATGAGCAGAGAAGGCAAAGCTCATGTGTTCCTTTTAGCAAGTTTAGCTGCAGAGTCCCTTATCGAGTCTCCAAAATGAAGGGTTGAAACTGGAGCACGGTGAGAACCCCTGCGATCCTTTTCCTTTTCTCCTCTGGTTCATTCTTTACTTATCCATAGTGTTTTATTAAGTGATGCCTTTTTGCTGATGGTCCAATTTCAAGAGCAGTTGCCTGACCTAAAGTACTTAAAGCACTAAAAGAAGCCAAACAGAAGTGTTCCCAAACCACTCTGTACAGTGCTTGTTGCCAGCTGGTATGCTTGCGACAGAGTGGTGTGAGGAAGCACACCATGTCTGGTCTGCTGTGACATCTGTCACTGTCCCAAGGACTACCTTTTGCGCTCCTGTCCCTCCCTACACACACACACACATGACCTGAAGGTCCTACCCAATCTTGGCATTTTGAAATGTGTATGAAGAGGCTCACATCGACAGTTTTTCTCCAATTCTGACATTACAGCTGCGTTCACTATACATTGACACTGACATCATTTTGACATGGTCGTGATAGCACAACGTTACCACAACAGCACAAATTTATAACAGCACAACAAAGAACCCCAGAGAAATCCCTTTGCTCTTCCGTGTTATGCAGGAATCTTTCTTAGTTCAGGACTGGGATTTTGACTTGAAAAGTTAATGGAATATCCCCTCCTCACTCGCACTGGAAATTACCTTTTGTTAGTTCCTTTGGCTCATTCTAACTTCTTGCCATAAGCTCTAGATGTTCCCTGCAGTGTGCTCCTTACTTGCCATGAACTAGTTGTTGGGATGCTACTAGATGAGAAATGAGGATTAAACCCAACGCAGCCTAAAGCTAGTGAGATTTTAAGCACTGAGAAGTTGAGAATTTTTCAGTTAAAAATTTCAAAAAATTCAAATCACCTTTTTATTTAATGTTCTAATGTTTAGAAGGCTCGGAATTTTGTATTGAAAAAAAAATCTACAAAACTGTTGATTCTAATTTTTACCTAGAGTAGTATCGCTGGAATTTCAGTTGTTTGAAATAATCTCATGTAAAATCTACATAATGTTGTTCAGCCATTTTTACTTCAATAGTCCTGGCTAACTTGCAATATCATGATCAGAAGAGATTTCTTATAATGTGTATATACTTGAAATTTATGTAATATTTAAATACAACTTGGTTTCTAATTAAGAAATGAGAGTACAGTTTCAACTATTTTTTCTATTCATAATTCCAAACTTTGTAAGTAACATTTAAAATAGGGTTACCACCAAGTGTTTCAGAGAAATTAACTTTTATGCACTGCAAGCTAGAAGTTCCTCTGGCCTGTCAGCTTTCACTTTCTTTTGGGTTTAAGGTTACTCTTACAAGCCGATGTTTACCCCAGAACTAAAAGAATTCACTGAGGAGAAGTTGTTGATATGATTAACTATTGTAAGACACTTTTGGCATAAATTTGTCTTTGAGATGCTGTTTACTTTATCAAGGTTTACATGTACAAATGCGATGACTTACTGTATCATACACATTTGAATATTGCATTTTTCAATAATAAACTTGGATATCTTTGAAGGAATCTCCTGGTGTCGTCATTCCAGATACTCAAAGTTATGAAAAATACACTGGTGAGTATTCATGTGCCTGCAAACCATAGTATGTAAGGAAGTAAAGGATGGGTTAAACTTGACTCAGGCAGTTGAACATTTAATACATATATAGACTCATTCACTCATGATCCAGTGCTCTCACTAATTATTAATTTCTTACATTTAAGCTCCTGTTTTAAATTGACAGTTTTCTAGTTTCTTAATCTCACTTTTTTTTTTCCACTCTCATGCACAGGCTAGCTCTTCTCCAGAAAGATGAGTGGCTTGGGACTTAAAGCAAACAAGAAGATTAGACAGCTTTAATCAACACTGAATATTTAACCAGAATGGTAATTTTTTTCTGATTTCCAATTTAGCCTTAAGTCTTGGTAGAATACTCATTAATGAACTGATTAACAGTTTTAACCATCTTACATAAGGCCGTGTGTTGGGCTTGGGTAGAACCCTTTGGAACGTCTGACACCAAATACACATGGGCTCAGTGGACAGCTGTAGTTGAAACAAACCCGGTGCAGAAATATACTTCAGAAGATAGTAAGTCAGTAGCAAATATAATGGTAAACTGTTCTTAAGGGTGTGAAGAGAACCACAAACTGGACAGCCTCTGGCATGTAGAATGTAAGAATACTGCAGTGAGTGGATACTTCAAGAAATACTGAATAGTTTTCACAGTCAGATGTCTCTTTTTAAGATATCATCCCATTACTGGTAGAGAAGTTTTGGGGTTTTCTCATTCACCATCTATCTATGTAGTTTGATGCTGGTGTTTTGGTCCAATTTCACTCCTGAATTGTTGACTGGTTATGTTGAGAGCCAAAATGAAATACAAATGACTGTGTTTTCTAAGTTTCCATTCCTGCCTTGCTAACCGTATCAATGTTGAATGCACAAACAAGAAAGCTGTCACATGAGACGATAGGCTGCCAGCTAGATTTAGCTGTAAGCTTTTACGAGATTATAAAAGTGGTGTAAAAGGGATTAACGCAAATATTGACTTAACTCTCAGTCTGTTGACAAAGTGTCTCCCACAGGCAAGACCATGTCACTTACAGACTGTTATTTTGTCTTCTAATTGAGTAATCAGGGACTGTTCCCAGAGGTTGGGCATGAACACAGATGGGGGAAGTAACTTGGAGGTCCACTTTGACCTAAATCTACATCATAAAGACAGGGTCACTGATTAGCAGAAGCAAGATCTGGGACAAAGTGCTGGCTGGATCCATAATATTTTCAATCAGTCTGTTTCATTTAATTCAAAAACTACATCCAAGAGTTTATCGTGGGAAGAGGTGATCTGTTGAGTCCGACTAACAGGCAGGATATAGAGGGAAATGCATTTCACTGTTACAGAGCCCTTAGCACATTTGGGTAAATTCTTCCAAAACATTCTAGCACGGAAATTATTTCACCTCACGATGTGCTTTATTCAAAATTCTCATGGATTTTCAATTAGGAGGCATTATAAAATGACACTTTATTTATTGCTTACAGCTAGTAAATGGATTTTGCAGCTTAAAAACAAAAACAAACAAAAAGATATACAAACATTCAACCAAACAAAAAGGCTGAAGATAATCTTTTCAAGCTAAAAGGATGTCTTTCAAAGACTAATTATGGATAAAGAACTATCCTGAATTTTTGTAAAATTTGTTACCCTCTCCTATTGCTTGGAATAAGACATTACAAAGACTTCTTATTTCCACAGAGGAAGCAAGCACAACAAACTCAGTCAATAGAAGACCAGTCTGGTCTATACAGTGTTTCTGTGCAGAGGCTTTCTGTGATGCCTAAGAATGGGCACAGACCTCCTCCTCTCCCTTGGCCTCCCTCTGTCTGCAGTGGAGAGTGCATGACCTCCATCAGAGGGCAGTTCACAGTCTCACCTTAGTGAGAGACCCCGGAAGCTTATCTGAAGTCTTGTTTTATCTCAAGTTCACCTTTGCACTTTACCATTCAGTGACTAGTTACTGAACAGAGAATGATGTATAGACGTATTGCAGCTACTTCCTAGTAGTTTCCATGACAAGATTCATGAAACATTTCTTCTGAAATAGCAGAGCTTCCACAAAGAACATTGTGTTACAATTTCCCAGTTCTGTCATGAAATTCATAAATAAAAATCCTGCCTTTATTGCCATAGAGAGCAGTTCTTTCTTGGTCATCTAGAAGGTGGTAAATGTGATACAAAGAGCTCTTCATTTCTGAAGATGGAGTAAAGTTTGATTGAACATCCCATTCCTCAGCTTCTAGAGACGAGATTCTTTGCTCATATTTGTATAGGATTTTTCCTCAGGATTGTAACCAGGCAACTGGCTTGTGTTTTCTTTGCTGACATTGTTCTTGAGGGTGTCTTCTGTTCCAGCTGTATCTGCGATAACTTCGGGCAGATTTTTTTCAAAATCTTCCTGAAAAATAGAAAGAAAATACCCCAGTAGTTTCAAAGGGCGCACACTGCTTTTGTAATTGCTTAAAGAGTGAAATTTTGACACACTGTCCTACAAATCTGAGGAATTGCTTCGCTACAGCAATGACTGCCAGACTTACAAAAATGCTCTGTTTAGTGTGTTACCGCTCCACAGTCATTGATTTTCTCATTCCTGCTTGGAAAGTCTTTAATAAAAGCAGCAACAACAACTTCTCACAACTCCTCTGTTGATGCACAAGTCTTTAATTATGTTCTTTGTGAGTCTCTAGTTACTAAAATTCGGTGTTTCACAAGCATATTCTTTTTACGTTTTAGTGGATTTTCTTTTTTGTCCAGCCTACTCTTGCCTCAGTGGTTTCATGCTGCAACTACTTCATTAATCTCACTGTTCTGTATTTTTAGCACATGCAAGGGACAGTTGTTTCTTTTCACTTCCTTTATTAATGTGGGCATCATTTTTCTTCAGAAAGTCCCTGCTAAACACCTGAAGCCAAGTCAGACAGCTGAAGTAAATCTAGAGCCACAGGTGCTGCCCGAATTGAACCATTGGCGCGCCCGGGGGCGAGGGGTTTTAAACTGAGACTCGGGAGGTTTAGGTCAGATATTAGGAAGAAGTTTTTCACACAGAGGGTGGTGACGCAGTGGAGCAGGTTGTCTAAGGAGGCTGTGGATGCCCTATTGCTGGAGACATTCAAGGTAAGGCTGGATGTGGCTCTGGACAGCCTGGTCTGCTGGTTGGAGACCCTGCACATAGCAGGAGGGTTGAAACTGGATGAGCACTGTGGTCCTTTTCAACCCAGGCCATTCTATGATCGCACGAAGAGTGAAACCTCTGTGGCAAGTTAGGTGGGGAGGGATAGCTTCTGCCTTATCGCTGAGAACCTTGCAGGCTAAAGTTTATTTTAACGATGTAAAGGTGCTTGCCGACGACTCTAAAGCAGCTGAAAACATGCAATTAGCTTTATCTCACCCCTCTCAATCCTGCAGACTTTGCTAAGAAGGAGCAGTGCCTCTGCAAGCCATTAAGAAAATGGGCTCTCATGTTTAACAAAAGGCGAGGCCTCGGGACACCTGTGGAGGAGTCTTTTGTTCTGCTGCAGCTGTGAGGAATCGCCGCTCAGCCCAGATCCGCCATCTTTGCAGTCTGGGAGGGCAACAGAAGGGCTCCACAGACACCAGTGCCTGGCAGCAGATGAGCAAACTGCATGCTGGCTGTGAAGGGCCTGACTGCCTAGAGGGAGGTCTGAGACAGGCTGCAGGGGGAAATGGGTAACCTATTGCTGGTTGGGACGCCCTGGCATAACTGTGTTAGCAGGTTGTGGCTGGATCCTACTCACGTCCTGCCTGTCGTGCCGCACACCACACCACATCAGTGTCTTGAGCCTGTCCGACCAGAAGCAAAACAAGTTGCAGACTGGCTTAATTAGCACTGGGCGGATGTCCTTTCCTTTGGTAGGCCCTGGAAGGAGGGGAGAGCGGTCAGCAGTAGGTATGGCTGTGGAAAGATGGCTGTGAGATGTGAGACCCCAACCCATGCTCCCCTCAGCCCGGGCCTTGTGAGCAGCTCTTCAGCAGCTGAGCTGCTCGTGCATAAAAGTGCTTTGTTCTTACTGAACACCAACCTGTTACAAAGCTGATGAGCAGCCCTGAGATGATGCAGCCCAGGCAGCCGATGGTACTGAAGTAGAGGTAGGACAGGGAGTACCAGGTGTCTGCCAGCAGAGGCCTGAGGAGATGTGACACGAGAGAGAGAGAAAGCAGCTCATGATGGCTGCTGCCAACGGGGATGCCTGAGCCAGACTGAAGTCACAGCGGTAGGGAAATACCTGTTGGCAGCCATGATGGGAGCTGCTGTGGTCGGCAGGGCAGTGCTGTTTGCCAGCGTGCAGTTGAGAGTCGACAGCTCCAAGGGAATGGTCTTTACGGGCTGTGCAGGATAGATGAAGGAGCCAATGCCAACCCAGGCAGCCAAGGTGATTCCAGTGAGGAAGCCGCCGATTGCACCCTGGTCAGGGAGAGCAAGATACGCTCAGAGGTGGTGTGGGGGAAGCGCATTTCTGCTAACGTTATGGTCAGCTGGGTTCTTTCTTGGCTGAGGTGAAGCACTGTTCTCTAACAAGAGCTGCAGCCATTTTGAAACTGAAATCATAGAATTAAAAGTTATACTGCTGAACAAAGGCGATGGGGCAGAGTGAGGTAAGCTTGGGGTATGCTTTACCCAAGTCAGCGAAGTTGAGCAATTGAGCTTGTTCTGTGCTCCCTAGAGTGGGTATGAATTGAGGAGATGGCAAGGGAAGCATGTTATGTTAATGTTTTATCCTTTTTTGAAAGACAAGAAATTGAAATCTAAAAGAGAAACAAATTAAAAACTTCCAATATTGATCTAATCACTAATTATCCCACAGTTGGGTAGAGATAAATTCAGACCGAAAAAAAGGCTTTCTGAACAGTTCTTGGGCTCCGCCACCTCTGACAGCCAGTTTGGACCCTAAAACAATTTGAAGGTGGGGTTTTAACTGAACAACTCCAAGAGGTTGTCTCTTTTATAATAAGGATCTTTTGTTTCTTACCTTCCAGTTAACACAAGGAAAGATTATTCCCAGAGTAAATAATCCCAGCATGGGCCCTCCAAATATTCCGTGAATGGAGAGGGCAGCCTGTGGATGCAGAGAAGAGATGTGAGCCAACACAGCGACTAGGGGAGCCTGAGCAATTCTGATTCCGGTCTGACTTTCAGTAGTGGAGAAAGGACAAACAGTAATTTCAGTGCACAGTGAAAGGAGTGAAAGGACTGCAATCAGTGTCACTTCCCAGCAGTAAGTAGTGAAAGCGATTTCTTTTTTATGATTGGTGTTTTTTGTTGTTTTTTTTTTGACTGAGTTCTCTTAGCACATGAGGAATTAATATGAGATGGTCCTCAGGAGTTGTTCAGGTTGGCTAACAGTCCCCCAGTGTTATCGGTTCAGTTCATTGCATTTCAGTCTATCCATGTTTGGATCATTGCCTTTTTGAAGTGCTAGATACCTGCACAACTCCTCCCATCAGTGATGCTGCTCCAGCCATGGATGTGCATAAAACACCGTATAATATACCTGGAAAAAATCAGATTGTCAGTGCCAGCTAATAAATAAGACAAACAGTTTCTAATTGAGCTAGTGTCAGAAAGGACCAGCTTGAAGGAATTTGCAGTTTGGGTTTTGATGCGTGAAGCACTCAGTGCTTTTTTGTGTGAAGTCTTTGGGGTTTTTTGTTCTTATGAAGTTGAATTTAGCACTGATATTAATTTAAAAGTCTCAAGTGCTTCAGTTCCTGTTGTCTTTGAATAATGTTTTTTAAGTGATCTCATGAATGAAACGAACAATGATGCAAACAAAGGCTTTCTTCATTTAATGCTAGTTTTAACCTTGTGGCGGGCAACTCTGTCATAGCATTCATCAACAAAACTTATCTAACGAGCTAGCACACCTTGGTTATTGGATGTAAAACATGGTCTGTCTTGGGCATGAGTAGAAAGGCTAGGTAGTAAGTGGCAAAGCTGGAACTGAAAATGTTGGAGGTGATGACAGAGACAGAGGGAAGGGCAGGTTTTGATCTTAATAAATGTCAATGAAGGGTTATGATAACATTAAAATACTTGTAGAAGAGTTAAGGCAATACTGCAGTACTTGTAAAACGTATCATACAAATGCAAACCGCTTTGGACTTGGTTTTGACAAGTTGTCCTGGTTTTGTTTGCTACATCTTTATTGTCTGCTGAAAAACTGAACAAGCTTTTTGTTTTTATGATTCTCTAAGTTTAAACAGAAATGTCATATTGTGCTGCTGTAAAGCAATAATATTTAGTAATATTACTGTAAACCAATGTAGCAATAACTACATTGATACATTGCAGTTTCCAAAGTATTCCCAGTACCTTCAAAACAGAAGAATGCATGCACCTTCTCAAAAAGCTTTTGGGCGGTTGTTTTTGCTGCCAGCGTTGATTTGATTCTGTACCATATATCGAGTGCACTTAATTGTACTGAAGATGGTCATCCTTTAAAAGCAGTTATGCTGCTGGGGGGGTTTTGGAAGCAGAAGTGCATATTTGAAGCAGTGCCTGAAGCAGCTGTTGCCCTTCACACACACAACTGCTCTCAGACTGAATTTGGAATACAGTTTCATTGTGTCCTACTTGAAATAATATGCAGATTTCTGCAAGTATTATAGCAATTGTACTTGGAGGGCAAGAGCACAATTCTATAGATACTGTATATGCTTAATGGTGAAATTCCTGAGTTCACATTGCCAAGGCAATACCACAGCTCAATGATCTGATTGTTTGAATGTTAGTAGACCACACTGGCACAGTTAAAATGGTTAGTAGAAGTGAGCTAATTCAGCTTAATTCTAGTTACTTAGCTGAGGTGCTAAGTTAAAAGCTTCGTCTCTGTTGGCTTATTCTAAGGTTAAGAGAGGAGTCAGGAGGAGGTCATCTTTTGTGGGGATGGAGCAGCTCTGTAGAGTAGTAGTTCTGTAGGGAACTGCCTCTGAAGTCTACCTTTCTCTATAGAGCAAGTATCGCCTAAGGCAGTGAAGTTCCTTTCCAGAGTGTATAAAATCCTGCCCTATTCTTTTTTGTACTAATAGTGGTTGAGAGGGGCAGACAAGTTTGCCTTTAAACAAATGGATTCTACTTCGGCTACTTACACAAGCCTTTGCTGGTCCACGTGCTAGTTTTCTCAGACAGGCCTGGGAAACATTTCCTGACCAAGTCTTCAAAGGTAACAGTTGCTAAAGCATTGATGCTAGCTGCCACGGTGCTGTAGAAGAGGAAAAAAAGAATACTAAGTAAATACAAAGCAAACTAAGCTGAAAGTAAGCTGTTTTTATAGAGAAATGCTGCCTATTGTTCATTGTTAAATACTGTTCAAGAACTGTGAATTTCATAATACATTAGGAATGCAAAGAGTGTCACTGTGGATATGGGAATTTAAGTAGCAAGGGGGATAATTTTCTTATGTTAGCAAGGGTTAAATAATAACATTTTAGGTTTGGCATAGGTTTCTGCGGAGACTAATTCACTCCTAAACTGTAAGCAGTTCTCTTGAATCTGACTATGTATACTGCAGATGCTGGTGAGGGTTCTGTCCTTCCTGTGATTGCTTGGGATCCTGCTTCATGCAATGAGATGGAAACTCATCCCAACTGACTATTCTGTTTACTCAACTACAGAGATCTTAAAACTTAGTGATTATGTTATATCCTAAATAATAGTTGTTCTCATCCACTGGAGGGGAAAATCCATAGATTTGCAGTCTAATGTTATGTGTTCCCTCATAAGTGAAAAACATGAAATGGAAATGGTTTTTGATTCTTGTAACTAGATGAGTTTGTCTCTGTGGCCTTGTTGTGGCAGCACGCAGGAAATGTAGCTTCAACTGCATTATTTGCACTAGTTGGCATTCAGTGCCCTTTGCTGTGTAACTCTCTGGCTAGAAGCAGGCAGTTGGTTGTATGCATGTTTGTGTTTTTTTTCCTGTTTTGGTAACTCTCTTCCTGTAATATTTTCAACACATGAAGTATTTTGAAACAGAATATCAGAGTTTGACTCTATGGCATTCATGCATGTCGCTGTGAGTTTGAATCTTCTCTCTAATGTCCCATGAAGTATTGATGCTTGGCCTGTGGAAAGTACAAACTGCAGTCGCATGCAAATCCCTGAGTGACTCAAACTTCTCCAGGTAGACATCTCTCTTCTTATGCTAACTGTAAAGACAGGCTTGGTAGAAAACTCTCCGTTCCTACCTATGATATGATATGGCAGTCAGGTAAAATAAACGCGCCTTCAATGTGAAGAGCTATGAAGTTATTTCAGCTAGCTGATCACTCGTGTTTCTACAAAGATAAGGATGTAATTTTACCAATACATTATTTTTATTCTATAACTTATTGCAGATGAAAAGATATTGGAGACATGGAACTAGATTTTAGTTCCAACAACTTGGCAAAGTACTATTGCTTTTTCTAGAATGTGCTAAGGAAAAAAAGCTGTGTATTCATTAGGATTTCTTGTTTTTAGCCTTGTTCTGGGCCCTCAAGAAATCAGTGGCATGCAGTTAAAATGTTATTTCAGATTCACAGACCTTAATGTTCCGCTGAACGCACAGGCAACAAATAGTCCTGGGATTCCTGGCATCGAAGAAAAAATGTCCATAACAAAATATGGCATGAGCTGGGGTAGAAGACAAAGGAGGAAAAACACAAGAAATGAGTTAGGATTTTCCTGAGTAAGAGAGAAGTACCTGCTTTTGGTCACACTGCTGAGTTTTTATTTTCCAGCCAACAAGGCATATTAGATTTTGAGAAAAGCAGATTTCGTTTAGCAAAACAACAATCAGATTTGTACTGCATGAGTGTAAAAATAGGTGTGTGCCAGCCTGATTCAGCCTGATTCACCTCATTGCCTGCAGAGCTGCAAGGATAAAGCATCCCACAGGACTTAAATGGACTTTATTCATGCAATGTCTCGGCCCAATGCACCTCCAAGTAATAATCTGCATCTGTACCTGATCAGGAGCTGAAATGAAGTCAGCAGTCCAAGGATCACAATTCTTGTAATGAGCGTACATCACCAAACCACAGAATACTGCACACACCAGGATTATCCAAAGTCCCAGTAAATTCAGGTAAAGTGCCCTGTAGCGAAAGGGGGAATTCTGATTAACACAAGATAATTTGTAATAGTTTTTCTATATTTAATTATTCCTGATTTCTTTTCTAGAGATTCTTTGACCAAACCTAGCTGCATAATCTCTTAAACATCTCCCCATCCTCAGAATATGTCACACGTATTCAAAAATAATAACAGCGAAAAATACAGCCTTCTTATGCTATAGGGCAAGGATAAAGGTTACACTTTGTACAGCTGAAGGGAATGATGTAAAACCAGTAACTGCTATGTGAAGAATAGACTGCAAGAAGAGCTGGTGGGGTCCTTCCTCTTGCCTACAGGGGCAGGGTTTTGTTCGTCAGGAGTTACTGCTGTTCTCCACTCAAGGAGATGTAATGCTTTGCCTAAGTATTAGTTTGCAACCACGACAGAATCCATGCATTGCTGCCGTGCAGAGTTGTGGTTTCATGTCAGTAAAATAGACGTGGGTGGCAGCACCCACTGAGAAGGTTGTGTGTGATTCAGTAATCCTTCAGTCCCAGTGAGCTGCCAGATTTTATACAGCCTACATCACCTCCCACAAGTTCTCTGGCTAAGGCAGAGCTATGCTGCTGCCACTCAGAGGTCTTTCTAGACATTTTACTAGTGATATTCTTGTTGTCCTGACTTCCAAACAAAGTTTGGAAACTAAAATTTGAAACTAAATTTGAATAAAGGAAATCCCTATAATCTATCATAGCCTTAAGAAAAATGAGTGTGATTGCAGCCAGCCAAAAAAAAAAAAAAAAAAAAATTTGGAGAAGAGAAGAAAAATCTTCTTTCTTTCTTTCTTTCTTTTGCTAACTGCGCAAGCAGTTAGTATTAGAAGAAGTTGGGTTGTTCACTAGAATGTGTATCTAACTATGCACACACTCACGCTGAACTTCAGGAAGTTAGCAGTCTGGAGACCTGTGTCTATATTGTAAAGTTTCATAATTGATTCTACAATTGTCCTATTTTTTTAATGTTTTATAACTTTAATAAATATTTGTGATCATATATCATTTAGATGATGCCCTGCACTATAGTGTACTCCATTAATGGAATAACAACTTTCAGTGAAATATATACCAAATTCCAGAAATAATGTTTTTTTGTAGAAAGCTGGAGATAGTACTGCTTCTGTGCAGGCATCTTATCCAGACTGCTTTTGAAGATTGATTTGGCAACCTGACTGCAGATTAACAAGCTGTGCAAGAGTTAGCTAGCCAAGGGGAAATGGTTTTAAGTTGAGGGAGGGAAGATTTAGATTGGATGTCAGGAGGAAATTCTTTACAGAGAGAGTGGTGAGGTGCTGGAACAGCTGCTCAGAGGGGTTGTTGATGCCCTATCGTTGGCGGTGTTCAAGGCCAGGTTGGAAGAGGCCCTGGGCAGCCTGGGCTGGTATTAAATGTGGAGGTTGGTGGCCCTGCATGTGGCAGGGGGTTGGAGATTCATGATCCTTGAGGTCCCTTCCAACCCTGGCCATTCTGTGTGTTTTTCTTTCTTCAAATATTTAGGTCCCTTAGGGTCAGAGGGAATAAGACTGTCAGGACAAAATTGGTTAACAGCCACCCAATAACATCCCAATATTTATTTAATGCAACTGACAAACTGTTGGCATAATTCCATGTCAGTATATTGCATTGCTAGAATAGGCTAAGGACAGGTAACTTACATCTTTGCATGCTTCTCTGTTTTGCAAGAAATGCATCTCTGTATTGTGGACTGATTAACTCCATAGAGTCCTAGCCACGTAAATGTTCCCCCAATAACAATTGTCCAGAAGGTGTGTCGTCTTAAAGGATCCACATCAAAGCTACGAAAGAGAAAGATAAGCAGTTCAGTTCCCTTTTTAAAACACAGTTTCATTTAAGAGTAGGTTGGTGAATTTTCAAGAATATATTCAGTTCTATCCTCTGAATCAAAATGCCTCGTTGACATGTTTTGGCTTAGGTTTGGGGTTATTTGTTTTAACTTTACATGGGAACGCTTCTGTCAAGTCAGGATAAACATAAGTCATGTGGAAAAATAAGTGGAAATAAATCACGTGGTTTGTGCTCAAATTCCAGATCTGTCACGTTATACCAACTGACTCAAAGTCATCTTGCTTGAAACCCAATTCTTAGCAAGGAACAAACCCACACAGTAAATATTAAAAATTCTCAAAGCTCTTACTCACGTCATTTTGGTGTATTATTTCTTTTGCAAGGTATTGCTTCAGCTGCAGTGCTATCTTTTTTTTTTTTAATAACAGTGAAATGTCATAACTCAGCAACTCTAACCACTGCAAGTACGCCTTTCCATCTTACATCTGGCTCTTCTGCAGTTCTGCTAATCTTAATATGGATGACAGATAATGTTTGACCTTGCTGCTAGTTACTGCCAGTGACTTGGCTTGATTGTTGAATTCTAGTCAACACCACAAATAACTAAAGATCATCAGTTTGCTTCCTGGTGCTTCGTTTCCTCATTGCTAACTGCTGTGGTGAGTGTACTTAAAATGAAGTGCTTGTTCTATGAACTGAAAATGAAAGATATGTGCAATTTGAAGGAAAATTGAGTACATTTGCAGTTAAACAAAGAAAAAATGGCAAAGAGTATTAGGACTTGGGTTTCTTCAAAGCAGGAAATGGAAGGCAGAGTACTTCTCTCCTTGGAGGTCGACTGCAAAGAAACCAAAGAAATAAAGACCAGGCTTCTCTACTCAGGCAGTATCTCATTGTACTATGGTAGTGTATTTTGGGCTTAGTCTGAGGATGGTTTCTAAATGCTAAGTGTACAAGAAGAAAAGGTTTGTGCCATTAATTTCTTACTCAAATATGTTCAGTCGTGATCCTTCGTAGGCATCTTCCCAGATCCTGGTTGACCCACCGTTCAGAATAGTTCCTCGAATCAAAACAGTTATGAAGCCAAGCACCATGATCACCATTTGAAATGCATCTGCCCAGACAACAGCTTTTAATCCTCCCTAAAACAAACAAATTGAATGACAAGAAAGAGAATGAAAGTTCACAAAGACAACAGGAGGTGGAAGTAGCACTTATTTTAAGATCGCATTTTATGGCTGTATGTATAGCATCCAGCAGATCAGGTCTCTCAATGGCTCGTCCACAGCCATATGAGAAGATCTGATGTCAAGTTACATGTTTTTTTTTTTTTCCTACTTTCTTAATATTCATCTAAAGAATATCTCTCTGTTGTTGAACAATTTTAGAGATTACAACATGGCCTACGTTTGTACTTCCCATAGCACACTGTATATTTCTCAAAGTGATCCCCAATTATACTGACATCGCTAACAATGCAGAATGGCCCTTGGAAAGTTTGCAATTGAGCTTTCTTCCATAGCTACTTTCATATTTCATCAAATCAATGCCAGAGCAGCATAAGTAGTGTTTCCAGCAGTGGCTGAAACACTGAAAAAATAAGTGATAATTAGGTAACGATAATGAATGCTAGATGTGTCCTAAGCTGAAGTGCTCTCCGCTTCCACTGCAGTGTTCATCTTTGTTATTATCTGAAGGCTCACATTGCTTCCACCCAGAAGCAAAGCACTCTCTATGATCTGTGAGCCAGCTTTTCTGGATTTTCTCATTCAGCATTGATCTGCAGTTATGTCAGAGGTGTGTTTTTTCATTACAGTGTTTTTCTGTCTATAAGAAGATAAGGGGAATCTTCTCAAATGATTTAGTATGGCAATGAAAGGTTATAGTCCCCTTATCTGATCTCTGCTTCAGGCTGACTTAAACCTTCAAATAGAGTATTTGAGAATTGAGAATTTTTTCCCTCTGAATTGACTAAAGGCTCTGAAAGAAATTTATCTCTTATGTTCTACTACTTTAAACACTCAGGCTGTGTTTAGATATTTCACTTCTGTTACAGCTTGTGTAAAAAGGGTTGGTGAATTAAAAAAAAAAAATAAAAAATCTGTGTTGAAGTTGTTCAGTCAATGCCTGTTACGTACCATAGTGCAATAGAAAGTGCAGACAATTCCTGTTGCAACTACAGAGCCCCAGAGATCAAACCCAGTGACTGTGGAAACAAAGAAAACCAGATAGTTAGCGAAGTGGGGGTAGGTTTTCCGGATGGTAAGAGAAAAGCTGTGATCCTTTGTCCCTGGAAAGAAGGACATAGTTACTGATTTTAACGTTTTCTGTTTGCTAGGAGCTTTGCCAGATTGTTCAGGTTTCTTAATACTACTTCACTGTTTTTTCCAGTTTGGGTTTCACTGTTTTCAGGTACAGAAGTAATAGTTAAAAATAATTACACGTAGGAAGCACTTTGTTTTATAAGCAATGCTTCCTTCTCTTCTCAGTCTATAACTTTATTTTAAAATCTCTCTCAGCATGCACTGCTTGCAAGGGCAAATCAATTTGTAAAGGTTTTCATAGTAGCAAGGTTAATATGGCCTGCTAATGAACACTAACTTCTGCTCATAGCTGTCTCTTTACAGAGCTGAGCTCCAGAGGAAGGAAGGAAGTTCAGAATGTGAAAAGTGGATTTTCCACTTTTCCAAACCAGATTCAGCTTGACTGATGAACAGTGCAAGGAACGTCCCAATCTCTGCCTTAATTAAGTCAGATCTGCCAAGGATTAGGACCTAGTGATTCTCTCTGCTCTGCAGTAGTACGTTTGCTAATCCCATCCATCATGATGGATGTTGTTTGTCTGCTAAGATCAGTTAAGGCAGTGTGTGAAAAGTAGCGCTGCATCCAGCTACAAGGAATGGGCTTATCTCTGTTGGAACCTGCATGGGCGTTCAGGTTTTGACATGGTGTTAAAAATTAAGTAGGATCATGAAAATTAACCCTTAATATGAGGAGCTTGACTTTCATCTTGCCTGAAAAATGGCACCCTTGCCAGAAAAAAAATCCCTCAGCACCTACACAGACTTACCTTGGCGTCATCCCTAAATAAATCTGGTTTCAGTTGCTTTAATGGTTGGAAAGATGCATTACTATTCTGCATTTCATTGGACAGCTGTGCCACTGCAAACACTTTGGAAAAGAAGAATATCAGCTTTATGCATACGATAGTAACAGTGATATTGGTGCTCAGGAGGCAGGGAGGGGAGGAACCAAAGTACAGAATACAGTCTTGGATCATCAACTTGTACTGTGGACTTTGTCAGGATGTTGAGAAATTGCTCATCACTAACTTCTTTGGGTTTTTACTGAGTGCAAAACAACAGAACAGCAAACCCTAAACTGCTGATTTACTGGTGTGAGAGGGACCTGGGAAAGGAGAAATAGAAAGCCTTCTAGGTGCAGACAAAAACCTTGCTGTAGAACTTGTAAGAATTTGCTTCTCAGAGGACTTGTTTAGCTGTTTGCCTTGCTTGAGTTATTCTTGTCTTGTGGTGTGGTTATTTGGAGTAGCCGTAAGGGCAGGGGAACTCACCTTGGTTGAGAGCCAGTGATGGAGCATAAACCACTATTCCTGTGTAAAGAATCTGGAAGAGAAAACGTTCATGGAAAAAAAAAAAGACATGTACATGACTTCTCAGTAATAATGCTTCCTTTCAGAATGGAGCTTATGGCAGAATATGAGAACTAGAAGCTTCTTTAGATGAACTTGTATTGCCTTCTGCTTCAGTCTGCAAAATGGAAAGTTGTTTTTTTTTTTATGGTCCTTTCATCAGGAAGGAATTATCTCTCTAGATATTTTGTACTTTCTTTCATTGTTAAGATAACTGGATGTCAAAAATACCCTCATCAAGTAGAAAGAGGAGGTCCAAGTAAAACACAGTGATGCAGAAATGACTTGTATCAGATCTTGGAAATTACACTTCCCTTTGTCCTGTCAATTGCATGAGGGTGTTCTGACAGAGTGAGGAACAAACAAAGCCTGAAAGCAAATGAACATTGCTGTCTACTGTTGTAGGCTCTAGGATTAATAAAAATGGATTTCAAGTAGAAATAAATGTCTTGCAATATCCCAAAAGCTTTCATCAAATACCTAACTAGTGTTCTGAGAAAGTTGGTGCCCTCTTAAATCAAAGAGCAAAAAAGCTATGTGATGTCTACCTAGAACAGTGCTTTGGGAAGCTTCTAAAATGTAAGTAAAGCCAGTAAAGCTCAGTGTCTCTGTTCAAGATCCAGGAACGCTGTTTTGTTCATCTATACATGCAGGGCTGTGGACTGACTAGGCTGTGTTTTGTAGTAATGCAGAGCAGAATATAGTTGTGGAGTCTCTCAGCTCTAAGCAGTGATTTCTGCCCTGTTGTTGCAAGCAACTCTTCTGGGGCTGGAGCTTGCTGGCCTTGCTGCTACTGCTGCCTGAGAGGGCGAACTGGGCAAGCATTGCTAAGGAGAAACTGGGAAGAAACTTCACTTCAGGTCATCCCCACTGATGCCACCATGAGGCTGGAACAATCTGGGCATCTCCCAGGATGTGCTGTATGCAGTAGCTTAACAGTGGGATAGCCTTACCCGAGTGTCAGAAGTGGGTAAATAAATAAGCAACAAATGCTCCAAGCACTACTCATCTAGTTTCTCAAGAAAGATGTAATTTCTTCTCTTTGAAAGAATCATAGAATCGTTAAGGTTGGAAAAGACCACTAAGATTGTGTAGTCCAACCACCTACATCTCCATATCGTGCTCACTAAACCAAGCATCTCGGTACCACATCTCCACAGTTCTTGAACACCTCCAGGGATAGTGATTCCACCACCTCCTGGGCAACCTGTTCCAATTCTCACCACTCTTTCTGAGAAGTCTCTCCTAATATCCGACCTGAACCTCCCCTGATGAAACTTGATGCCATTCCCTCTTGTCTTATTGCTATTACCTGGGAGAAGAGGCTGACACCCACCTCAATACAACCTCCCTTCAAGTAGTTGTAGAGAGTGATAGAGTCACCCCTGAGCCTCCTCCTGAGCAGTCCCAGTTCCCTCAGGCCCTGACTTAACTAACTGACATAAGACTTTCATTCCATACCCTTCACAAATCCATTACTGGATTCTCTGGACATAATCCAGGGCCTCAGTGGCTTTCTTACAGTTAGGGACCCAAGACTGCACATGGTATTCAAGGTACAAATTTAACACAACATCCAAGTGTCAAAGGCAACGGGAATGCAATTTTTCATCATAGGTAGAAACTAGAAAGTAGGAATGCAACTGTTCTATCTTTTTAACATTCGTATTCTAACCTAATTAAAGAATTTTGTTGTAAGGAGAAAAAAAAGTTCAGTCTGACACTTTATTCAAAATAAATACATAGACTGAAATGATCACAAAGAAAGAGGCAGTATCTTCTTACCGTCTGCAGGATGTAGATCAGTGTTGCAGCAAGACGGACATTCTTGTTAAATCTTAACTCCAAATACTAGGAAAGAGGAATTTCAGTAAATTGCACGCGTAGCATCTGTGACACAGCTATTAACCTTTTGTTCTCCCCAAGTAACAGCTTGCTGTGCAAGTAAAACAACTGGCAACTGACACTAATGTTGTGAGTAATGAACAGGAGAGCATAATTACTGCTACACGTAGAGATAACTGTATTTAAGAAATCTCAGCAGAACGTAGTTGAAATTATATGTTGGGTCACAGCATGCAATATTTGTTTTGTGTTGGGAATATAATCAGAAGAGCCCACAGGCTATGAAGAAAAGAAACAAGGTCATCTCCTGTTATAACAGGACAAAAGCAGTGGAGGAGCAGATAGACAAGCAGCAATCTAAAGGCTTTCACAGCCCCTCAGCTAAGCTGGCTTTCTCATTTGCCTTGTTCGAAGCTGGATCTGCACATGGTCAGTGGGTAGAGGCAAGTCAGGTTGGAATCGTAGAATTGGTGGAGTTGGAAGGAACCCTTAAAGGCCACCTAGTCCAACTCCTCTGCCATGAACAGGAACACCTCCAGCTCCATCAGGATTGCGCAGAGCCCTGTCCAACCTGACCTTGGATGTCTCCAGGGATGTGGCATCTACCACCTCCCTGGGCAACCTGTTCCCTCAAGTTACTAACAGCTCCTTGATTCATCCAATACTACTACCCAGATTCCACAAATTATGACAGATCTCCTACCCAAGTTCTTACAGATTTCCCCAAAAACACAGGTCTTAAGCCCAAGTCACTACCTAAAATCTCCCTTCATTGCTAATCCCAGAGTAGCTGGGGGAGGACTGGATCTCCCTGGGGCCACTGGCTGTGTGTTCACCCCAGCAGACATCAGGCTCCATACAGGTCCGTTGCCTTTGCCAGTCTCTAGGCAGTTTTTCAGAAGCAAACTCTTACTAATTTTGTTAACATTAACTTCTTGCCTCTTGCATAATAAGCCCCGCAGATTGCTGTGCAAATAAGTAGCTAATTTATGTTATTTAACTTGTTTCTAAAAATAATTCATGAACTCAGCAGAGTCATCTTTCCAGCACGCTTGGAAGGGCTGTGTCTACGATGACACCTCCAGTGGTTCAGATAAGAAACTCCTTCTCTGACCTTGCATTAAAACCAGCTAGAAAATGTAGTTAGTCCTGGTGGTGGGAATAGATGGCCACTGTTATTTTTTTCTTGCTTTTGACTGAAACTTTTCCAAACAGCCAGGCAAAGCTCTCTGACTGAAGCCTCTCCTTGGGTTTCAGCGTAGACAACATGAGCAGCCTTTCCATTATCAGAAAGCTCCTTGGGAAGTAGCACGGCTTTGCTCACCCAATCTTTGCTCAACCAAAACTTTCCACAAGTTGGTGCAACAAAATCTGCAGCGGTTGATTAAATACTAGATGGCTATCCCAAATGTTGGAAAGCTCACCAGAATGAAACAGTTCAAAAGTATTTAGGATACTTTTCAAATACTTTCTAGCTGTGATGGTTTTGTGCTGGTGTGTAAACTCCTTATGCTGTCTGTGCTATTTATCCTTAACAAGACCTCTGGCTTTTAATTTGTGCCTCTACTTTATGCAATATACATAAGTGACTACTTTGTATAACAGAACCCGATTTTAAAAATAATTCCTGCATAAATACATTTGTTCTGTAAAATATTACAGAAAGTCTTCAGTATGCAGGCATTTCTCCAGAAATATCCATATACATCATGCAGTCTTATAATGAAATAACGCGCTGTTTAAAAAAATTTTTACTTACCTCGTAAGTGCTTGTAATGTCAGATCTGTAAAATACAGGTAGAAAAATCTCAGAAGTTAAAATGATGACAAATGTGTATGAAAGGAAGAACAGAACAAAGGATGCTCCGTAGCGATAAACTTCGGAGGGTGTCCCCAGAACTGTCACTGCTGACATGAAGCTGGACGTGAGGGAGAAGGCTATTGGTCCACATGACATCTGCTTACCACCCACCAAAAACTCCTGCGAAGTTTTCTTTTTTCTCTCCTTAATTGCAAAAAAGACTCCAATGCTAGCACATACTAAAAACAGTCCTGCAAAAACAACGTAGTCCCAAATGACAAATTTTTTAATTTCTGGAGCTACGAAGTTTGACATAGCACCAGCTGGGTTATTCTCTGGTAGAGAATTCTGATTTACTACAGTTGCTCTGAACAGATCAGAGCAGCAAAGGTGTAAATTGTCTATAGCTTATCAATGAGAAATTAACAGGAAGACCGTTTGGTTGAGATGGCTCTTTTTATCCAGGCCACCTCTGAGGAGGAAAAAAAACCAAACAGAACAACCAACTAGCTCACGATAAGGAAGGAGGGTGTTGCATGCTCTTAGACCCTAGTGATACTGATGTTTCTGGACGGGGGCCGTAGCTGTGAAGCCTGCCCTACACTCCCTTTTTATCTGGGAGGTTTTAATTTGAGGTTAAATATTAGCCGGACAGATTGACTTGATCTGACTCTTTTCTAACCTATCAGCATTTTTAAATAATAAAATGAGAGCAATAAAAAAAAATAAATAAAGGAGAGAGAAATGAAGGAAAGCACGATGTGTGAACCTATGACCTACCAGAGCGTTTGTTTTCAAAGCAACCATTTCTTCGTATGGTTAAAATCTAAACTTTAATATCAATGATAGGGTTCACAATTGTCCTTTGACATTTTAAGTGTGCTCCTTGATAGACGCTGTGCCGCAAAGAGTTGAAAGCTTTAATGATTAAAAGTAACTGTAATGCTTTACCCTGAACTCATAGCCTGCTCTTACTGGGTACCCTCACGTTGGAAAAGAAATAGTGTTATGTGATGTTTTAGGATGAATTTCAGATGGCACTGATGTTTGCTGTCAGTTACTAACTGCAGTTTTAATTATAGCTTCTATGAGTTTCTGTGAAAGGTGGCTTAGTGGGCACAGCAGTAATGGGCTGACAGTGGAATACCTGATACCAGTGATCTTTTCCAACTTTAATGGTTCTGCGATTCTATGGTTTATTGCATTTTTCAATGCACAACTTGGTCAGACATGCAAGGCCAAAGAAAAGGAAATAAAACAACTGCTTCAGTTTTCTAAACTGCATTGATGGAATAGTTTATGGAATTCACTTAATTACGTTTTCCTTGCAGTTTTCTGCTGGTTGGTTTTAAACAAGTAGATGTTCATTCAACCTCAGTCTATGTATGTCGTAAGTATGACAATATCTTTTGCAAAGCAAAACAAGGACTTATCATACCAAAGAATAAACTTGTATGCAGAGGTGGTGTGCATGAAGTGCAGAGAGTTCCTTTTGGAGCTCATCACAAGAGATGCAGTAATGGGAGGTAGGTTATAATGACAAAAGTCCTTCTCTTAAGCCTTGCCTTGGGTAGAGGTGGATGCACTTCAACTATAGCTGCAAGAGAATTAGTCCCCATAAAGGGCATATGTGTGAGGTCTCATCCAGCTGGGTTATCAATTAATGCCCCGTTTGTTGCCGCCACAATCATTTTTTGCACTGGAAGCTGCACTTAGTGCAGTGGAGGGACTGGATGGGAGAGCAATAAACGGATAACAGCGAGTCGGTGGAGGTACTGCTCTGCAAACTCAACCCACCACCTTACAGTGATTTCTTTATCTAAGTGTACCCTCATCATTAGTTAATATTTCCCTTTTGTACCGAACATGTCTTAAGGTGTGTCCACTTTCAAAAAAGCAGTAACTTTCACTTGCCAGACATTCCTTTGGCTTTTTTTTTTTCTTTTCTTTTTCCTTCCTCTGCTTATGACTGTAACAACACGAACAGTTTCTGCAGGTTTGAGGCTTTGACTCATACCTACAGTCTGTCTCTGGCCGTGCCATGGCAGTAGCAAGGTTCTGGGATCAAACATCAACCCGGCCTGGCAGGAGCTTGATGAAATGGGTGCAGGCATGCAGGGCTACGTGGGCAGAGTACATGCGTGCCTCCTCCTGTAACCACAGCTCAGCGCTGGTCAGTGGTGACAACACAATGAGTTCACAAAAAGTTGCAAAGAAGTGAATTTGGGCAGTCCCTCTCACACTTGTGCCACTAAATTGCATCCCATGTAGTAAGACTGCAGGGGTCTGATGGTGCTGAGACGGTGAGTAATTGTTGAGGAGCTTGGGATTGAAATAAACAATGAGATTTAGAAAAGTTCTTGTGGTCAGATTTGTGTGCAAGTCACTTATCAGAGTAAACGTAAGTGGAAGATCACTGTTACATTCATTCTAGGAAAACAATACTATTACTGGTTTGAACATGTTTTTAAGATGGTCTGTTTGCCATCAACAAATGCTGCTAATGAGTGAACTGGGTCTGTTCAGCCTTGAGAAAAGGAGACTGAGAGGGGACCTGATCCAGGTCTATAAATATCTAAGGTGTGGGGGGCAGAATGGCGAGGCCGGACTCTTTTCAGTGGTGAGTGGAGACAGGACAAGGGGAAACGGCCGGAAACTGCAGCATAGGAAGTTCCGCACAAACATGCGCAAGAACTTCTTTACAGTGAGGTGACGGAGCACTGGAACAGGCTGCCCAGGGAGGTGGTGGAGTCTCCTTCTCTGGAGATGTCAAGACCTGCCTGGATGCCGACCTGTGTGACCTACTGTAGGGAACCTGCTTTGGCAGGGGGTTGGACTCGATGAGCTCTGGAGGTCCCTTCCAACCCCTACAATTCTGTGATTCTGTGATTAATTAGCAGTTGGGTCAGCTGTGCTGTAACCCACTGGCAAATAAAGATGCCAGGATGGTCTCAGTGCACAGTAATGTTAGTTTCATTGCAGGAAGTTTTTTCAAATAGCAATATTCCTATTGATGTAAATACATAAATGTAAGCCCAGAGATCTTTTTTGTTCGGTAATTTTTAATGATCTTTCTTGAAGAAAAGTATTTTGGAGTGATAGAGTTTTGCGTGAAGCAGAAAAAAGTCAGTGGACAATAAACTGGAATTCAAGTCAGAAATTTCCATGTCGATATTTATGGTTCTGTAGCCCTCCAATACATTGTCATTGTACCTTTAGGATATCGTACAGAATAACTATCTTAGCTAAATCCCACATTAAATACTGAGAGCTTAGAAATGCTGCTTCTAAAGGAGAGGTCATGTGAAAGTAATACAAAAATGCCCGTTATTCTTCTGATTATATTCTTTACATCAGAATAATTGAAAGTATTTCCTGGAAAAATAATAATATGTAAAATAAATAAATAAATAACTCCAGTTTTGTATTTTGACAGTGGAAATTCTTGTTAAATCAAAGATTTATTTAATCAGGACAACCCAAGGAAGAAATTTGGTGTCTTGAATCCTCAGTAGGCTTCCCATTTTCTGACTATGAATCAAGGACTGAACACGAAATCCAACTCAAGTGTTTGGATTTTGCTCTCAAGGCTGTTCGCAGCTGAATAATCACCTGGGGCTGAATTACAGGTGTTGTGAGAGGGAAGATGGTTGTTTAGCAGTGCAGCTCTCACAGGTGCCAAAGCCTGCTACTGTTCAGGTTAATGGAATGAGGCCATAAGGGCATGAAATGCTTGTGTGGTTGAGGCAGTGACTGTCTTCGTAGCCAACGCTACCTCGGCACCCTTTCTGTGAGTAAAGGTATGAGGAGAATTAGACTGATATCATCTAAGTATCTGCTTGATTCTATTGTCTGGATTGGTAATATTTCATTACTATTACTATTATTTTTCATTTATTATATTCTAGTATTGCATTTGAACTGAGCCTCAATTATTTATTCCCAATTATTTTGATTAAAAGCTTTGCTTTTGAGACCCTAAAGCTTGATTAAAGTTCTGTTATCAATTCAGTGACTGTAGTGTCTCACGATAGCTCATATTTGGATAATCATAATAATTTGATTTCCTTATTTTCCAGTAAATTAAGTTTCAGAGCTGTAATTTAGTAAGTCTTTTACTTTCAATCCATATTAGCCTGTGATGCCAGTTAGATATTTCTATATCTGAGACCTCTGCCAAGTTTTAGCGCCCACATGCCATCCACGTGGGGTGACATCCCATTGCATAACCACTGTGAATATTTGGTGAGTGTAAATCACTCACTTAGGGCCATATTTGGCCACACCCAATGGATAAGTAGCGTTTCATACATGGTTAGCACTTAAACTTTCTCACTGTGGATTCTTTGGAACAGACTCTTAGATAGCAGATGGAGATTACTTGCAATAACTGCTTTTTTATGGTCTTCAGTATTGCTTGCTAATTAAGTTTGCTGGTGACAGGACTTCAAAGCTTCAGAGAAAGGATGTCCAAAGGAGAAAATATATGATACATGAAATCACTGGGAGTGTATAAAGTGAGCAGTTATCAAAGAATACTATTTCACAATTATATTTTAAGTTAGTAGCATCCTTTCCCCTAGGTCGTGATGTTTTGCAGGCAATAGCGTATGAGAACATTTTCTATCAGTTATTTGTTTGGAATTGAACCCTATCTCAAGATGCGTACCTTACCTGCTTATGCTTATTTCAGTGGGATCCTTTATGTACTTTAGATGCATATTTTGACATCTATTTTGTAGTGGAATAAATAGGTTTTATCTGTCTTCTTTATTCGGTAAATGTTATATAGGACTGTGATTCATGAGTGTTTTTGTAGTGGCCTTTCTGTTTCCTAAATTCTAGTTCTATTCCTTTTCAGTTTGAAACAGGGAGAAAATGACTTAATTGTAAATAGATCTTAATGTAATTGAGAAATTACCACGTTGTTGCTTACATACATTCTTCAAATAACTGTTAAGTCCTATTTCTGGACTTGCAGGAGATTTTTCTAGTAAATAGTTCCACTTTGTGGAATGAATTGCAGGGGACGAGGAAGCTTTGCTTAGTGGAATTGCATGTATGCAACCGTATATAGTTGAAGTGAAATAAAGTCCTAAATCTAAAGCTGGTGTAATATTCTTATGCATCAACCTTCAGTTTCCCTCTAGATCACATTTCCTAAACGAGTTTAACTCATTTATAACTAGTATATCAGATATTGTCTTTATGTACACTCAAGAACTGAGGGTTTGACTTATAAGGAGGGTTCTTTTCACAAAAGGCAGCTCACGGTATTTCTTTTAAGATGAACCTTACTCTCAGGTGAAGTAAAA